GGTGCAGCACCCCAAATCCCCCCGCTGCGATGGCAAAGGGGCTGCGGTGACCCTGCCGCCCGGTGACCTCTGTCTGTCCATCCGTCTGTCCATCCATCCCCGCAGGCAGAGCCCGGCCGCAGCTCATCACACCCGCCACAGCCCCAGCCAGCGCTCCCTCCCTTTTATATCCCACTTGGAGCCTTGACACCGATTTTTTTTTCCCCGTGGGTGGCTCACAGACTGTAATTAAGAGCCCTTCTCTCCCGCCTGCCCCAGCTCCCGTGTCCAGCAGCTGCTGTTTAAGCGAAGGAAACCCCCTTTCGTCCTCTCTCTCCTTTATAATTTTTTTTTCCCCCCCCTCCCTTCTGAACATAAAGGGATGACAGCGCTCCAAGCCAGGGTCTTTTGCATTTCTGAGTTGGTTCTGTTAATTGGAAGGAGGGTTAAGAATCTGCAAGGTCGTTTCAATCTACATCTGACCTTCAGAGTAATCCTCTATGCCAACACCAGAGCATGTCATTAAAATGAGGCCCTCTACCATATCCCGGCATCCCTTTATTCTCTCCTTGTGCACATTAATTGCTCATAAGTTGATTTGATCTCCCTATTCTGCAAGAAGTAAATTGCCCTCTTATTTCGCCATTTTCATCCTGTTTTCTTAATTAGGCCCTTAAAAATCTCTAGGGCCTCAGCCGGGCCGCAGGCCTCATCCTGGGAATAAATTTTGATCTCAGCCTGATAAAGAGTGAGCAAACCCGGAGACTGAACAATGTCATTCTCCCCCCTCCCTCCCCTCCACACTATTCTCTTGACATGAAAAGGCTATCAGTTTTTCTCTGTGTTAATATAGGAAATAATTCACACTTCAGGCGTTGTTCTCTATTTAGTGTTCACACTCCCCAGATAAATCAAATCAGGGATTTTTTCTTTTTTTTTTTTTTTTAAGTGTCTGAAACTACTTACTCTTTCTCTCCCCCCCAGCCTCCTCGCTCCCTTTTTTCCCCTCCTTCTTCTTTTAATAAAGTTTCCAAGATTAGCCCCTGTGATTTTCCATCCTGGGAAGTCTATTTTAAGGTGGATTTTTTTTTTTTCCCTTCCTTGTGTGTCTGTGTTTAACACCACGACGGAGGGGAGCGGGGGGCAGCGGGAACCTGGCACGCGGCTCCGCACACCGAGCGGCACAGACAGGGTCTGCAAACGTGGCATGTGATGAGTTTTGCCAGGCACGGGCTCAGCCCCCTGCCCAGCCCGACAGGGCAGCAGGAGACTTTACAAGCATATTTTTCCCCCCTGCTTGTGCTGGGCAGGAGGGTCCCCAGCCTGCAGCAGGTTTGCAAACAGGAGGTGGGGGAACACCCCACCCCAAAGCCTGCTTGTACCAGGGGTCCAGACCCCCAGAGGGGTTCTGCAGCACCCAGGGCTGACGCTAAGCCAGCCCCAGCAGCGAGGAGGGGGCAACAAAGCCCCCACTCAGCCCCACGCCTGCTCCAGGGGCCACCTAACAGGTAGGAAACGCACCTGAGCTCCTGGGAACGGCTCCACCATCGCTCTCGCCAAGCACAAACCAGAGCAGCCACCACAAACCTGTCCCGCTCCCAGCACCACACTCAGCCCCAGGAACACAGCTCCTTCCAGCTCTGCTCTCTGGGGCCTTGTGACTATTATTAATTAAGGGGCCAAGCCTGGTTCCAATTAAGCAATCAGCAGATGGGTCAGCACCTCACAAGTCCCAGCTGTGCTCAGCACCGGGAGCTGTGGACCTCCCCGAAGCACCTGGCTGCAGGGCTGGCACCTGGAGGGACGGGCAGGGGGGACCCTGAAAACCCCAAACCACCCTGGGACCGGCTGAGTGAGAGGAACATCAGTGCATCCCCCCTCTAACCGAGCCAGGCTTTCCCGCAAAAAAAAAACCCAAAACCCAGCCCCCAAGCAGCCCCCCAAATCTAGGGCAGCTCCCCTGTGAGATGGGGATGCTGCTGCAGCCCAACCTTCGGGCACGGCCTTGGCATCACTGGGGGAAAGCGGCTCTGGGTGCTTTGAACGCCATGACCCTCCCTCCTCTGGGACGAGAAGAAACAGCCCACGCTGCAATGCTCCGGGATGTTGTAAATAAATATATTTTAATGATTCTTCTTCCATTCCAGTTCATTCTTTTATACATTTATTTATAAAACAGTAGTAAAATTTTTTAATCAGAGCACAGTGCATTACAAAAGAAAAATAAAACAAACAAAAAACCCCCAAAAGATTAAAAAAAAATAATAATAATCCACAACGGTTTACTCACGGCCGGGGGAAGACGACGTCTCGCGCGCTGAGCAGCGGACGGGCCTCCGCC